ATCTGACAAAGGACTTGTATCCACAATAAATAAAGAACTCTTAAAACTTTAGAAAACGAAATAAAATTAAAAAAAAAAAATAAGGGGCGCCTGGCTGGGTCAGTCGGTAGAGCATACGCTTCTTGATCTTGGAGTTGCAAGTTTGAGCCCTATATTGGGTGCAGCGATTACTTAAAAATAAAATCTTAAACAAAAACCAAACTTAACCCAATTTTTAAAAAATGGGCAAAATATTTGAAAAGCCATTTTACCAAAGAATATATACAGATGGCATATAAGCATGAATCATTACAGAAAGTAAAACCACAATGAGCAGCACCTGGGTGGCTCAGTTAAGCATCCAACTCTTGGTTTCGGCTCAGGTCATGATCTCAGGGTCCTGAGATCAAGCCCCACACTGGGCTCCACGCTGAGTGCACAGTCGGCTTACGTTTTTCTCTTTCTCTCTCCCTCTATCCTTCACCCTCCACCACTCTCTCTCTTTCTCAAATAAATAAATCTTTAAAAAAACAAAAAACAAAACAATGAGATACCACTACAGACCTATTAAAATGTCTAGAATTTAAAAAACAAAAACAAACTGACAATACCAAGGGCTGGGATGTGGAGCAACCATTATAAAGCATCATATGTGGCTGAGGGATATGCAAAATGGTACAGACATTTTTGAAAATAGTTTGGCAATTTCTTATGAAGTTAAACATACACTTACCAAACAACTCAGGAATTCCACTCCTAGGTATTTACCCAAGTGAAATGAAAATTTATGTTCACAAACTTTTAAGCAAGTGTTATAACAGCTAAATCAAAAGAGCTAAAAACTGGAAGCTACCCAAACATCTTTCAGTTGGTGAATGGATAAACAAACTGTGATATATCCCTAACAGAATATACTCTGCAATAAAAAGTTACAATCTACTGATACATACAACAACACAGAATCTCAGAATGCAACAAGGAATCTCAAATGCAGTAGGTTACATAGCCAAGGAATCTCAAACGCAGTATGTTACATAGCAAAAGAAGTCAGACCAAAAGCTACCACTTTATGACATTCTAGACACTATAGGAAAAGAAAACGGATCTCTATCGGGTTGAGCAGAGAGGGAGAGGTTCAATGCAAAGGGACATGGGAAGATTTTAGAGACAATACAACTGTTTCATACCTTGAACGTGGTAGTGGTAGTTACATGACTGTATGCATTTGTTAAAACTCACAGAACACTAAAGGGGTGAATTTGACTGTATTTAAATCATCTATTTTTTTTTAAATGGAAGGAAAAAAAGAATCACAGATGAAGATGAGTCCCAGAGATTCTAGGAATTCTAGCCTGGGAAGTTATGAGGATGATGTCATTATCTGGAAAGGCTACATTACTTAGGCCAAAGACACAGGTCAAGTCCACCAACTGATGGAAATACAGAATACAGAAGCAGGCTCTTGTCACCACTCTTCACTAATCATTCCCTACTCTCGCTTGTTGCCTTTTTGGGCTTGGGTGGTGAGCACTCAGTAAGTGGCTACTGGGAAAAGGCATTTAGAAGAGTTGAAGACAGCCAGGTTCTCAACAGAGCCCTACTGGGGCGGGGCGGGGGGGGGGGAGTCTCCTAAATCACAGAATCAATTTGGATGAAGCCTGAGTAAGCTACCAGTGCAAACCTCCTGCTTCTTGCATTTGAATCACAATAGAGACAAGGCTATTTAAACTTTTTCCTTTTTCTTTTTTTTTTTTAAGATTTTATTTATTTATTCATGAATGACACGGGGGGGGGGGGGGGGGGGAGGCAGACACAGGCAGAGGGAGAAGCAGGCTCCATGCAGGGAGCCCGACTTGGGACTCAATCCCAGGTCTCCAGGATCACACCCTGGGCTGCAGGTGGCGCTAAACCGCTTGAGCCACCGGGGCTGCCCTATTCAAACTTTTCTTAAAACAACAAAGAAACTAGGCAGGGTAGAGGTAAGCTAGATGTATCTGGGTCTAATCATAGAATCTTTTTTTTAAGTCGGTTCCACGCCCACAGTGGGGCCCAAAACTGGGCCCAAACTCCTGACCCTGACATCTAGACCTAAACTGAAATCAAGAGTCAGATGTTTGACTGACTGAGCCACCCAGGCACCCCTAATTATAGAATTTTTAAGAATATGATTTAATTAGTGATTTCCTTCTAAGTGCAGTCAGGCAAAGATGTACTGACACCATTTCCAATTCAAGTGAAATATGACAGGCACTTTAAGTTTGGTTTTTACATTAAAAAAAAAAGTAACATTCACAACCTGTGAGTTTGCTTACCAACTAGTGGAAGTATTAAAAAAATATAAATAATAAAACCGTAATTTTCCTTCTAAAGAGAAAAAATGAAAAAAATTAGATAACATGTACTTTCCTCTACAAAAGCTGAAAAGCACACTGTATTGGAAATAGTATTCAAACAAAAATTCACTGGATTTTAATCCCAACTCTGCCACTAACTTGCTGGTTAAGTACATCAATCATTCTCCCTAGCCTTATAATAAAAGAGGATAAAGAGACAGGATATGTAACATTTATTACAATAAAATGTGAAAGCAATTAGAAATTATTAAAAATACTAACTAGGGATAAATACCAACGACAGTCATTATCATAATTATCACTATCCAGTAAACTTGTTAGCAAAATGAGACTGTTTAACCAGAACTAAAATGCACCATGAGACACAAAAAGAAATTCTACTGGAAGAATTTTCAAGATAATGGATTTGATATATGTTAGATTGACATATGGAGTAACATTCCAATATACTCAGATGCTTTAAAAATTCTGGGTTTTTTTACTAAGATTTTATTTGAGAGAGAGAACATGAGTGAGTAGTGAGGGAGAGGGAGAAGCAGACTCCCCACTGAGCAGGGGGCTCGATCCCAAGACCTTGAGATCATGACCTGAGTCAAAGGCTTAACCAATTGAGTTTCCTAGGCACCCCTAAACTTTTTTTAAATAGCCTGTAATATGAAAAAAGATACCTAAGCTTTCTTATAAGAACTTTGTTATCTTACAAGAGATTTGAACTGCAGAGATCTGAAAATGCAAACAGAAGCTTTTACTTCATTTTGGCTGTAAGGTTATTTATTTGAAGGGAACAAAGAAGAAAATCAAGGCATCTCTGAGTCAGGTCTATATGATGTCATATGATTCTTTAATCCAAATTTTTAGAAATGAATGAAATGTAAGTCACATCCAAAGTCAAAACTATTCCATCAGGTTGCTCATTATATCCTAGCCCTTTCTCATAAACATTAATGAAAGAAACTGATACTTACTCAGCACAGTTGTCAAGCAGTGAATTAGGTATTTTATAATAGATTACTTCATTCTAACAACTCTAAAGAGATAGATATTTTCATTTCAACATATAAGAAAACTGAAGCTCAGAAGAGATAAACAACTCACTCAAAGTCACACAGCAAGCATGAGAACCGCAACCAAACAAGGTCTGAGGCTGAACTACTCATCTTCAAGCTTCTATAATATGTGTACATATTACACCCACTCCCCCCAACTCCTACCCCACAAATAACAAATGACTTTTCCTCTCAAAGACAAAGTATACTTGCAAAATTCAATGTCAGAGAAGGGACAACAATGAGTTATTAACCCATTACCAATATTAGTATTAAATTCTCATACTGATCCATAAAGACGGTAGAACATGTTTACATTTGAAGAAATAAAGAGTCCAGAGAGGTTATATAATTTGCTGTAAGTTAAAAAAATGGCACTCCCATATTCTAGTAGACAGCTTTTTAGTTTCCAAAGTGCTTTTTCACCAATCCATAGTGAATTCATCAAACACTTATGAAGCAGTAGCCTGATTCATTCTAGGAGCTTGGGAAATGAGTGAACAACACAGACAGAGATCCCCATCCCCATGGAACTTACATTCTAGCAGGAGAGACAGAAAATAGCAATAATATAAATAAGCAAATTATACAATACATTAAAAGAGATTAAGAGCTCTGGAAAAGACAAATAGAAAAGCAGAGTAAGAGGGTTTGGGCAGTATCAGGAAGGGAAGAGCAGGCTATAATTTTATTTCAGGTTGTCAGGGTAAACTTCCCTCAGCAGGTAACATCTGAGCTAAAGCATAGAGGCATAAAGGAGTTAGCCATACAAATGGAGAAGACTAGGTGGTAATCTAGGCAAGAGACAAAGAGACATTGTTGGCTTAGATGATGACAAAGCAATGCAGAAGGTGAGAACTGACTCTTTTCTGGATCTATTCTGAAGGCAGAACCAACAGAATTTGCTAACGCACCAGACACTGGGTAGAAGACTGAAGAGCCCAGGATGACTCCAGGGTTTTTTAACTGAGAGGCTAGAAGGATAGCATCTGTAGCAACTGATATCTACAGGCTGTGAGGAGAGCGCACTTTGGAGGAAATAAAAAAGTTCAGTTCTGGATATGTCAGCTAGAGAGGTCAAGTGGACTGTAAGATATAAAAGCTGGAGTTCAAGACAGAGGTCTGGCCCAAATACAAATTTGAGAATTTTTAAGCATACAGACAGTATTTAAAACCATGAAATTAATTCTGGAACTAAAAAGGATCTTTCATACAAGTCACTGTCATCACTGATAAAGTCTGGACTAAATGAATCCAGGGATATGTTCACGGTCAGACACATATAAAGCAATTCTAACAGAGCTGCTCTTCTTCAGCCCTGTATTTTCCTGAGAACCATGTACTGCCATCTAGCATAATAAGTAAAGACTATTCTTTGAAGGCTAATAAAGTAAAAGGGGTTTAACTTCCAGAAAAGATTTCCTAAATGCTGTGCATAAATATGGAACCATTTTATCCCCATTTCTTAAAAAGCATTATGTGAAGACATTAAATATTGTAAGTGCTCAGTAATTGTTTAATACATGAACAAATCTGCAATAAAATAGCCCCTTGCTGTGACACTATTTAAGTATCCAAATCCCACTTGTCAAAGTGGGTACAGTTAAATATTTTTACTTACCTGATATTTAAGCCAATGAAGTTTGTCCATGTGAAAATATAATCTCCACCAAAGACCATTCCAATATAAGTTATTAATATATTCTACAAAGAAAAATGACAATATGCTGTTACACAGGTCTGAGCTTTTTCAATATTCATATAAACTCACACACACAATGGCCCAAATACCTACCCCTAAAATACAAAATCAAATAGACAACAAAACCCACCAATCCGAAAACGAATATACTAGGAAATAAGAAATAAGAAATGACATTAACCTCTTGCCAATCTCTCCCTCCAAAAGCTAAACCAAGAATTGTCACCAGATTATCAACTTCCTGGGTCCTATGGTATGGGCTGACATTATAAATCTAAATAGAGAAACACCTGGGGTAGAAAACACTAATGCATGTTTCACAACCTTAGAAAAGAATGCTTCTTCCTCCCACTGAGGTAACTGCTGACTTGTGAGGGGAAAGTGAAGAAGACGACCTCACATGTAAGCATCTTTTCCTCTTTTTTAAAAAGAAAAGAGAGGATGGAAGGGAGTTTACCAAAGTGAACATTGTTTTTAGAGGCATCTTCTTTGGTATCTTAAAAAAATACATGCATATAGGTTATTAAAATTAAACACTGACTTTCGGCACGATCCTTTTTTGGCAAAAAAATGCTAACAACTGGCCTATCTCGCACATTCTTGCTGTTCTTTTTCTTAAGATGCAAGCCATTCACTGTGCTCTTGAAGCATTTACTTTACAAAACCAAAACAGAGCTGAGAGCTCACCTGAGGGGCTAAAACTATGTTAGCAAGCCCGGGCCTGAATGTAGATTAACTGTCTTTAGCTTTCGTGGGAATTCACACAACTACTTATAGCTTAATTTAGCATTCTATTTACACCAAACACTCCAATTCCATGACTTGAAGTCACAGACCTGAAACTTTAATCCAAATCTAGTTTCTAAAGTGAGGGCAGGTGTACACCACTCCATGGAGGTGTAAAGGGAAACAGCAGGGCAGTAAAAACTATTCTGCAATCCCTTCCCTCACTATTGACAAATGGGGAATCAGAAAGGAAGTCCCATAGCAAGCATTCTCTTTCCCAAAGGATTAAGGACCTACCTCTCTATCTTACCTTTTTTAGAAAGCAAGCCTACCCTGCTAATTCATTTGGAAATCAGGCATGCTGTGGCTTCTTGGATCTTAAGGCACCAGAAGCACAAAGTCAGATGAAAGAGGCCTTGGGCTTCAAGCCACAAACTTCAGCTTAATATTCAAGTCAACTTGGCTCTCCTGGCTGAAGACAAACGAGCCTCCCTCAAATAAAATGGATCAGGAGGAAATGACATCACTGGAAATGTCAGACACAGCTTTTAAAAGTGAGCCATTTAAGGTTTGCCTCATGCACTGGAAAACTCCCTTAATTAACTTCTGGCAGGCATCCTTTCCCTACGACAGCCAGAACAACAACCAGAACGCAGTAAGGCAGAGAACAGAACAGTTTTCACTGGGGGTTAAAGGGACGGGCCTACTGCTACCAAGCTAGCCACCTACCCTGTGAAACAAGCCTACTTCCTCTTCCTCTACTGAGGTAACCCATTCTCCTTTTCCCAAATTCCCCAAAGCTGAGCTGCCTCAAAGTGGAGATTATGCCCTGAGTTCTTAAAGAGCATTGTAGAAACCATCACCACAATCTGTCAAACCAAGATAATCTGTGAGGAAAGAAGGATAATGGGGTTTAAAAAGCCACAGCAGGATTCAGAGTAACAATTTTCAAATACAGCAGGTACCCAAAAGATAACAGTATTTTTTCAACTCACTTTAATACAGCCAACTATTGTAGTTGTAAGAGCAGAATTATACTGTGTGCAGAGTACTGTGGCATACATCAAAATAAACCTGGAACAAAGAAGGAAGAGGTATAAGTGCCAGTTGCTTACTTTTGAGCAATCTTTAGCCAACAGAAACAGTGTTGTAATGCTAGCACACTGTAGTCACTATGAGCTTTCTCCACCTCACCCCTGCTTATACTGCAGCTTTAAATTTTTTTTTAATTTCATTAACGAGAAACACATGTCATTTATTGACCAGGTGTTCTCCCCAACTACCCTCACCAAAACCTTGAAACGACCATTCCTAATCACTGAGTACTACTCTTTTTAGACCCTATTACCACTAATTCACTTTACCCAGATAGAAAGCTGAGTGCACAGACCATGGCTCAAGTGTGCACCTCCAAGGAGGTCAATAGGACCTTTGAACAGGAAGCAAGAGAGATTCTTAAAGATGGAAAAAAAAAAGCAAACAAATTAGCACTACTTTTAAGAGGGGATATAAGTTCACTTAACAACTAAGTGGCAGTAGTTGAAACAGACAGATTTACAATGAGGCTTCTGAGCCTGACTCGTACCAAGGCACCATGTTAATTTTATTTTGAAGCACTCATTCACTGTGTACCTACCCTGTGCCAGATCTAGTCATAAACACCAACCAAACTGACTGGCTGAGGAAAAAAATACCTTAGTATTTTAGGGAAATACAAGGGGAAGAGAAGAGACACATTAGCAGATACTCTCTTGCCTTCCACATATACTCTTCCAAGAGGAGGACAACCTGGTAGAGAGAGTCAGACAGCCCCAAATTCAGAGAGCCACTACTGCTGCCTGCAACTGTGCAAACTAAGACAATTTACCTGAGTTCTGGGACTGCTTTCTCATAGGTAAAGAGGACAAAAATATGTGTCAAATGGTCAATGTGGAAATGAAATAATGCATTTTAAAATATAATGGTGCTTATCACATAATACGTTATTGGGTGAACAATTTCTTGTCTCCATTCTTCTAAGTATGACTTTGGAATCAGTTTAGTAGCCCTTAGGGCACGTTCCCAAAAGCTGTGAAACCACCTGAATCTGGAAGTTTCATTATCCTGTGCTGATACACTCAAGAGACAGAACAGGATACTGAGAAATGAAGCAAAAGGACCTAGAACAAATTTCTCTAGGAAAACTATCTGCTAACAAGGCAACAAAGGCTTACCCCATCACACAAGAAAGGGTGAACTGCAGAAGAAAGAGGGTGTCCGCCCAGCCTTCAAAATCCATTGCCTGTAATATACAAGAAAACATCTGATTTTAGAGCAAGCCCTCAAAATCAGCTGTCCTATTCTTTAATCAAAATCCTGTGTACTGGGGATCCCTGGGTGGCTCAGTGGTTTAGCAACTGCCTTCGGCCCAGGGTGTGATCCTGGAGTCCCAGGATCGAGTCCTACATCGGGCTCCCTCCATGGAGCCTGCTTCTCCCTCTGCCTGTGTCTCTGCCTCTATGTGTGTCTCTTGTGAATAAATAAATGAAATCTTAAAAAAAAAAAATCCTGTGTACTTCCTCCCACCACACATATACATATATACATTTCCCTGCATCATTCACAGGGTAGAGAATGATATTTAAGAATTTGATATATATGGAGCTGAACCAAAAAAGCAGTTTCAGAAGGTTTTCTCCTTTCTAAAATATAATGTGAGGAAGATTTTGTACTTTTCCCTACTGATACAAAGAAACTGATATTTGCTTGAAGGCAGAAGTCATTTCTGCTTAATCCGAGCAGTTCTCCCAGATGGCTAGTATTAAAAGCTTTCTCAAACATTAAAACATACTTCTTCCCTATAACACATGAAAACTCAAGTACACCCTTAGTTACACAAGTTCAGTTGAGGTCTATCCAGGGAGAATTACTATTTTAAACCAGCTGATGGCAAAAGCGAGGTTTTGTTGCCATTTTGGTTTTTTAAGCCAAAAGCAAAGGAAGAGAAATGAAAGGGTGCATTGATCACCTCATCTCTCACCCAAGGGGGAGGGTTTCTCTCTCAAGTACATAATTTCTCGAGTATCAGTTTGGTAAGCAAATATGAGAAACATTCCACCTTTTATCTTTCTGCCAACCTATCCAGCTTCAATTCCTGCCACTTCAACATAAATCTCATGGCTCCTGGGCTCCAGCAATATGAGGCCCTTTACTATTTATAAAATATAACATGCAGTTTCACATCCACATGCCTTTGCTTGGAATGCCCTTCTCATCAACACTCTTCAGACTCCTGTTCACTGATGAGACAAAAACTCAAGCAGCCTCCGTGTGGGGCCTTCCCTGATAAGAACCCCATCCTCTGTGCCTCATCAGTACTTCTTTCTAGGACTCTCATCTCTCGGAACTGCAAGTCTTTCTACACGGTGTCTACCACCAGTGAGCTTCCTGTAAGAAAGACTCACATCCACCTAAGTGAACTCCTAACAGTACTTGGCAAACAGTAGACATTTGTTTATGGTTCTTTCTTTGTTGAGGCATAATATGTGAAAAATAAAATTAATCACTTTAAATATGTATTTTAATGAGTCATGACAAATGTATATAGTCATGTAACTACCATTATTTCTTCCTTCCTAATCTGTGTAACTTTTAGTCTCTCATTTTTACCTTATTGCATTGATGACATCCTCCAGTATAATGTCGAATAGAACATTATATGAGTGCAGCCATTCTCCCCATAATCTCAATCTTAGTGAAAAGGTATTCAGTTTTTACCATTAAGTATGTTAGCAATAGATTTTTTTTGATAGATGTCCTTTATTAGGTTGAGAAATTTTCCTTCTATTCCTAGTTTGCTGAGAATTTTAAACTCATGAATGACTGTCAAATTTTATCAAGTGCATTTTCTCCATCTTTTGACATGGTTCTTCTGTTTATTATTAATATCTTATTAACTCTTATTAATGTGGGGAATTGCACTGATGTTAAACTAACCTTAATTCCTGAGATAAACATAATGGTCATATAGGGCCCTTTTTACATATTGCTGGATTTTTTTTTTTTTACTATAATTTCAACCCCTGCCCCTGAAATTTTTTGTCAACAATTAATTAGTACAGGGTATGCTGGCCTCATAAAAGTCAACTGTGAAGTATTCTCTTTCTACATTATTTTTTTCCTTCCTTTTCTACATTCTGAAAGAATTTATATAGAATTGGTATTATGTCTTCCCTAAACATTTTGCAGAATTATCCAGTAAAATGATCAAGACCCTGTAGTTTTCAAGATTTTTAACTAAAATTCAATTTTAAAAAATAAAGATAGAGCAAAACAGTCCCATTGATGAGGGCTAGTTTAATTAAGCAGAGCTATTTAATTATTTAGTAGACTATGGCTATTCATGCTATTTCTTCTTGAGTAAGCTTTCGTAGTTTGTCTTTTTTAAGAATTTGTTCATTTCATGGACATAGTTTTTCACTTTACGGCATAATGTTGTTCATAATATTCTGTTATCCTTTTAGTATATGCAAGCTCTGTAATGATATTGCTCTTTCATTCCTTATATTGATAATTTGTGCATTCTCACTTTTTGTCCCAATCAATTGGCAATTGAGCAATTTTAGTGATCTTTTATTGACCTCCAAGTTTTAGGCTGATTTTTCTCTATTGCTTTTCTTTTTCTCTTTTTGAAGATTTTATTTATTCTTCATGAGAGACATAGAGAGAGAGGCAGAGACATAGGCAGAGGGAGAAGCAGGCTCCCTGCGAGGAGCCCAGTGTGGACTTAATCCCAGGGCCCTGGGATCAAGACCTGAGGCCAAAGGCAGATGCTCAACCACTGAGCCACCCAGGCACTCCTCTCTATTGCTTTTCTGTTTTTTATTTCATTGATTTCTGCTCTTACCTTCCATATGTTTTCTTTAGGTTTAACTTGCTCTTATTTCTTCTAGTTTCTTAAGGGGAAGGCTTACGCTGATTTAAGACCTTTCTTCTTTTCTAATATATGCATTTAATTAAATATGGATTTCCCTCTAAGCACTCCTTTAGCAGCATCCCATAAATTTTGCTATGTTTTGATTTTTATTTAGTTCTAAATGTTTTCTAATTTTTTTCTTGATTTTTTTTTCTTTGATCCATGTGTTATTTAGAGGTGTGTTTATTTCTAAATATTTGAAGTTTTCTCATTTATCCTCATGTTATGAATTTCTAGTTTAATTCTGTTCTGGTTAGGGAACATACTTTCTATGATTTCAATTATTTTCAACTATTAACACTTGTTTTATGGCCCAGACTACAGTTTATCTTGGCAAATGTCCTATGTGCACTTGAAAAGATTTATTCTGTTATTGTTGAGTGGAGTATTCTATAAATGTCAATTAGGTCAAATTAGTTGACGGTGTTGTTCAAGTGTTCTATAGCCTTAATGGCTTTCAGTTTAGTTGTTTTATCAATTACTGAAAGAGGAATGTTAAAATCCCCAACTATAACTGCCAATTTCTGTTTTAACAGTTTTTGCTTCACATATTTTGAAGCTTTCCCATTAGGTACACATACACTCAGGACTGTTATGCTTATTTGACATATTAACTCTTTCCACATTATGAAATGTCCCTCTTTATGGTATAGTTTCCTTTGTGCTTAATATAACTTATAGTTTGTTGAGCTTCTTGTATGTGTGGCTTTAGTTTTCATCAAATTTGGGGGAAAAAATCTGCCATTAATTCTTCAAAAATTTTTCCTACCCCTACCCCCCTTCTTCAGGACTATAATTACACATATATTAGACCTCTTGATACTATACTATACCCACATGTTATCAGTAATCTGTTCGTTTGTTTTCCAGTCTTTTTTCTTCCATGTGCTTCATCTTGGATAGTTTTTTTTTTTTTAAGATTTTATTTATTTATCCATGAGGGACTCAAAGAGAGAGGCAGAGACACAGGCAGAGGGAGAAGCAGGCTCCATGTAAGAAGTCCAATGTAGGACTCAATCCCGGAACTCCTGGATCACGCCCCAAACCGAAGGCAGATGCTCAACCGCTGAGCCCAGAGGTCCCACATCTTGGAAAGTTTCTTTTGCTATTTCTTTAATCCACTGATCTTTTCTTCTGCACTGCTTAGTCTGCTATTTAATACCTTCTGCTTTATTTTTCAATTCAGATTATTACATTTTTTATCCCTAAAAAGTTTCATTTGGGTCTTTTCATATCTTTCATTTCTCTTCTCATCCTCTCCACAATCCTTTACTACCTGTTGTCCAATGTCTGAAAAACATTTTCACATGTTTGATATTCCAAAAGGTTAATGTAGGAAGGTAAATCTTGTCCCCATTATTCCATCATGGCTAGAAGTAAAAGACCAAGTTCAGTTACTGACTTGAATTATAAACCTATTTCAAATGATGCTTCCACTGGGAAGCTCTGCGCAAAAATCCACATTCACATTAGGCTCTTTCCTGCCAAACTGTCCAGAACACTAAGTGCTACTTTGATCGCTGACATTGCACGTATGTTGAGTATTTGTATGTGACTTTCTGTATCAGTATATACATGATCACCTATCCAGAACTGTGAATGCCTTCAGGGTTTATCCTTGCAACCACAGTGCTTAACAAAGTGATAGCAAATAGAAGGTATTCCATAACTCTTTGCCAGAAAATGAAGACTAAATGAAAGAAGTCATACAGAGTATTATGCTATGCTCTTTCATATCTGTAAACAAAACCTCCTCTCTGGTGAAAAACCATTAAAGCACAATAAAGCAGGAGACCTAGAACTCAGGAGACCTAGAACTCAGGAGACCAGCCTCTATCAGTGAGACTATAAATTCCAAGAGAGCAAGAATTATGTCATATGTCACTTCTGAATAGTTCCAAGTGTTTGGAAGTGTTAGGCACAAATAGCTGAGGTGAATTAAATATCCATGATCTCTGGCTTAGCATCATTTTCTACAGGCAGATGAGACGAACTTTCTATTTTAATACACCCACATACCTACCTATACATGATACTAAATAGATTTAAAGTTTAATATTAAATCTGTATCATTTTAAATTTTCTTAAAATGGTAAAAGTCATTTTATGGGCATACAACTCATTAGTTTTTGCCCTGAGTTTATTTTTTCTTTCTTTGAAGAGAAAACGTGTAAGCCAGCAAACCAGAAGGTGGGCACTAGAAGTATCTTTGGGAGGGTTACCGGCACCCTGCAAGAAAAGTCATTGTACCTTAAAAAGCAGCATGCCAGGATCAGAAGGCCAGTACCTAGTACGAACTTAACACTGCTTCATTATGCCAGCCTTGG